TGCATTTATTATTTTTTTTTCCAGGAGCCTAGAAAGCATTGCAACAGCAATCAGCAGATAACTGATGCCATGCAGGACTCCTGCAGACCTGTATGTACAATATGCCTTGAAAAAGTATTCATACCCCCTTGACATTTTCCACATTTTGTCATGTTACAATTAAAAACGTAAATGCGTTGTATTGGGATTTTATTGATAGACCAACACAAAGTGGCACATTCATTGTGAAGTGGAAGGAAAATGAGAAATGGTTTTCAAACTTTTTATACAAATAAATATGTGAAAAGTGTGGAGTGCATTTGTATTCAGCCTTCCCCCCCCCCTCATCAATACTTTGTAGAATCCTCTCCACCTTTCGCTGCAAGTATTGTGAGGATGTCTTCTTCCTTCTCTTTTGCACATCTAGAGAGTGACATTTTTTTGCCCATTCTTCTTTGCAAAATAGCTCAAGCTCTGTCAGATTGGATGGAGAGGTGTCTGTGAATAGCAATTTTCAAGTCTTGCCACAGATTCTCAACTGGATTTAGGATCTGGACTTTTAGACTGGGGCCATTCTAACATATGAATATGCTTTGACCTAAACCAGGGGTGGGCAACTGTGGCCCTCCAGCTGTTGGTGAACTACAAGTCCCATCATGCCTCTGCCTTTGGGAGTCATGCTTGTAACTGTCAGTTTTGCAATGCCTCGTGGGACTTGTAGTTCTACAACAGCTGGAGGGCCACAGTTGCCCACCCCTGATCTAAAACCATTCCATTGTAGCTCTGGCTCTATGTTTAGGGTCGTTGTCCTTCTGGAAGGTGAACTGCCTTCCCTGTCTCAAGTCTTTTGCTGACTCTAACAGGTTTTCTTCTAAGATTGCCCTGTATTTGGCTCCAACCATCTTCCCATCAACTCTGCCAGCTTCCCTGTCCCTGCCACCACCATGTTTCATAATGGTGATGGTGTGTTCAGGGTTATATGCAGTGTTAGTTTTCCGCCACACATAGCATATTGCTATTAGATTAAAAAAAATAAAATTTTAGTCTCATCTAACCAGAGCACCTTCTTCCACATGTTTGCAGTGTCCCCCACATGGCTTCTCACAAACTGCAAACAGGACTTATTATGGCTTTTTTCAACAATGGCGCTTTCTTCTTGCCACTCTTCTAAAAAGGCCAGATTTGTGGAGTGCACTACTAATAGTTGTCCTGTGGATAGATTCTTCCATCTGAGCTGTGGATCTCTGCATTTCCTCCAGGGTTACCGTGGGCCGCTCGGCTGCTTCTCTGATTAATGCTCTCCTTGACTGGTCTGTCAGTTTAGGTGGACAGCTATATCTTGCTAGGTTTACAGTTGCACCATACTCTTTCCATTTTCAGATGATGGATTGATAAGTGCTCCGTGAGATGGTCAAAGCTTGGGCTATTATTTTATAACCTAAACCCTGCTTTAAACTTCTCCGCAACTTTATCCCTGACCTGCATGGTGTGTTCCCTTCATGATGCTGTTTGTTCACTAATGTTCTCTAACAAATCTCTAAGGGCTTCACAGAACAGCTGTATTTATACTGAGATTAAATTATACACAGGTGGACTTTATTTACTAATTAGGTGACTTCTGAAGGCAATTGGTTCCACTAAATTTTAGTTAGGGGTATCAAAGTAAAGGGGGCTGAATACAAATGCACGCCACACTTTTCTGATATTTATTTGTAAAAAAATGTTGACAACCATTTACCATTTTCCTTCTACTTCACAATTATGTGCCACTTTGTGTTGGTCTATCACATAAAATCCCAATACAATACATTTTAGTTTTTGGTTGTAACATGACAAAATGTGGAAAATTTTAAAGGGTATGAATACTTTTTAAAGGCACTGTATATCTGTGTGCTTGTACCTCATACAAGCAAGAAAATATACACAGTCAGGAAGAGAGAATGAACTACCACAAACACTCAACAGCGTCATGGTAGTTTATTGAGAACTACAATACAAGCTGACAGCCACAAAGGCTGTTGGGACTTGTAGAATTCTGTGACTGAATGACGGGCTGGGTGGGCGGAGCCCCGCACAGCCACACCTTTTTTGAATTGTGACAGCAGACACAAGAAGATCCTTGACTACTGCGGGGACTGGGGGGGGGGCAGCAGGGGCAGCTTCTGGGCTAACATGTTAAATGTTACACACTGAATACAAGTGTAAAATGTAACATGTCAGAAAATGGTGAACTTATCCTTTGAACTGATGGTCCTTTGAAAGATGTGCCGCCTTACATTGGTGGTCAGGGCTCACATTCATTGCTGCTGAGCAGCGATGTTCCCCTTTACATTAATGGCCAATGGAGAAGTACCCTCTTCCATAATGGTCAGTAGAAAAGTGCCCCATACATCACTGGTGTAGAACCTCCATACATTGTGGTCATTGGAGACATCTCACCTAACACTAGTGGTCGGTGGAGGATGGCCCCCACATTTTGGTGGTGAGTGGTGTACGACCCTCTTATACCGGTGGTCAGTGTAGTGTCCCCTTACATTAGTGATGAGTGAAAAGTGCCCTGTGGTCAGTGGTGTAGTGCCTCCGTATTTTTGTGGTCATTGGAGACATTCCCTCTTACACTAGTGGTCAGTGGAAAAAGCCCCCTCCATGTTTGGTGGTGAATGGTGTAGGACCCTCTTATACTGGTGGTCAGGTAGTGTCCCCTTATATTGGTGGTCGTTGGTTACTTACCTCAGAAGGAGATTTTCAGTGTCTCACATCAGCAGCTCTGTCTGTGCTAAGTGAGGTCCACATCGGAACTAAGTAGAAGCTATAGGTAGTGGATCACGCTGCCCAATAGTGCATGGCATCAGGGGCGGACTTACCATTTGAGCAATCAGGCACTGCCCGAGGGCCCGGGGTCAGTAGGGGGCCCCATGAAATGCCCCTGGTACCATTTTTATAGGCTTTTTTGAGTGTGGGCATGGACACAGGGGCCCCATGATCCCTTATTGCCTGGAGGCCCCATGAGTTGTAAGTCCGCCCCTGCATGGCATGACCATTGGCTTAAAGAAATTCAGCCTGCCTTAATTCTCATAGATAAAATAGGAATTAACTGACATTTACAAATTATAGGAGTACTGCTCTATCGGAACAATATACAAAAAAAGGTGAAAGAAAACCAGTCATGAGAAAAATGGAACCTACCATTTCTGACCACTTTCTTCTGTAAATGCTAATAGACTGGCTGTGATTCCACCCACTTGCTTCAATGTGTCAAGCCAGTGGTCCTAAACAAGTTAAAAGATAAGCATTTCTACATTTTCCTGATTTTCATATTTATCCTGGGTCAGCAATTTAGAAATTATTGTGACCAAAAGAACACCATAACAGCTGGTATTTTCAGAAGGAGAATTCAGCAACAGCAGCCTCGCAGGACAGGTTTCCTTTAATGACAAAGCAAATATTCTGGGCACCCAAGAGCAACATTTACTAACAGTACGAGAGTGAAGTAATGGGATAATATCTCTCTCATTCTGTTAAACCTCATCCTAGAGTATATAATGAGAAAGATAACAGATAACCCTAAAGGCACTATAATACTGTAAATAAAACAGTACAGTTCTTAGCATGAGCTTATGATATTTTAGTAATAGGAGAAAAAATGAACTTCCTTAGTAAAAGAATGTATGAATTAGTGGAAGAATCAAAAAAAGCTGGAGTGAAGGTAAATCTAGTGCAGACTTATGCTGGCCATAAATTATGCAATTTTCTTTTTTTAAACCCACTGTGTTATGGTATTCTGACAGCGGGAGGTTACCCCACCGTCAGAACACAGGGGATCACTGCTGGTGGCTATAGTCACCGGCAGTGTTCACACAAACTAACTTAACAGGCTGTCTATTATAGATTTTGGTACAACCAACCTGCCCATAGATGTATCGAAATTCGTCTGGTTCCTGCTGAATGGACCAAATTTCAATTGTTTATGGCTGGCTTTAGTATGGTACATGATCACAACAAATAGAGGAAATAAGTTGTGTTATGAGGAGCTAATAAAGAGTTAAAAAAACATTTCCACTAGAGGAACAAACTACAAACCCAACAGGCTGCTAATTATAGATTTCAGTTCAACCAGCCTGCCCATAGATGTATCGAAATTCGTCTGGTTCCTGCTGAATGGACCAAATTTCAATTGTTTATGGCTGGCTTTAGTATGGTACATGATCACAACAGATAAAGGAAATAAGTTGTGTTAAGAGGAGCTAATAAAGAGTTAAAAAACATTTCCACTAGAGACTAGTAAAGAGACCTTATCACTAAAGTGGGGGCGGGGGGGGGGGGGGGGGGGGGGGGGGACAGTTGTGAGATCAAAGATTTTGTCACACAAATCCAAATTCAGATTATTGGAACTATTCTCAAACCTAGTAGTATGTTGTTGATATCTGGATACTAACAAATGAGTGGTGAAGAGACTTAAAGCAGACCTTCAATCATAAAAGGGAGTTTTCCTCCCTGCAACCCCTCATCCTGTGCGATAATTATTGGCCCTTTTTGTTAGTTTTTTTATATTAAATAAAGAGAATATAGGAATATGTAATGTACATAATCCAGGAGGCTATATGAGCAGGGACTTACAGAGGCCTGTAGGTGGCCCTGATGCATGCCATTAGGAGCCAGTTGCCTGAACCATTGTAAAACACAGCATAAACTGTTGGCCCTATATAAATCCTGTATAATAATAATAATAATGTACCTGGTGATGTCAGGGAGACATGGCAGCGCAAAACACTGCGGCACCTGAACTGGGGATGACAGCGGGACAATGCTAGATCTAAAGGGCAGGTAAGCATCTGAATTGAGGACAGTGTTTCAAAACAACTATAAGGAGATAAAAAAAAACAGAAGGGGGGGACTAAATTCCTCTTAAAGTATTACTAAACCCATAACAGTAAAATCAGTCTGTATGTGCAGTAAAGCATGCTTGTTATACTCACTGTGGAACCTAAGGGGTTAATCCTCTGCATTGTGTACATAGGCCATTTGATCCTGTCTTCTCTGCTTTTCCTTTTGTTCATATGTCCACGTCTTCTCTCCTGATAAGACAGACTGAACCGTAGCCATTTGCACATGCTCAGTTTAGTGTGTATTGCTAGAGAGGTTTTTTTTTTTCTTCCAAGAGTGCAGGTGATCTTTGCTGGGCCAATCAGCACTGTCCAGACAGAGGTCAGGGGTTTTGCATCCTCCTAGAGCAGAAAGAAAACTCCTCCTACAAGCTTTAACCAGTGCTCTGCTGAACACTGATAGAAATAACAAGACTGCTCTAACTGATGATGAGAAAAGTTATTTAGCAGTTTATATTTACTAAAATAATTGCATTTCCATGTTGTGTGTACTGTGGGAGACCAGATATAGTGAATGCAGGGTCCTGGGTTTGGTAACACTTTAATGTAGGAATAAATCCTAACTAAATACCATTTAGTTTGTGAAAGCACTGTGAATCATGTATAATTGCTATGTCATTTAAAAAAAAAAAATACTTGTTTTCACCTTTTTTCATCCTTTGTTGCATCTCAGTGCTGTTGATTTTTTGTAGCCTCTTTGCAGACACTTCCCATCTACATGCTCTCCATCAATGGCTGCATGGCATGTCTTAGATTGAGTTTCCTGGTGGTGAAAACAATGGACCTTTTCTGTGTAATGTGTGTTGAAATGGACCACTTATAGTCTCCATTGGAAGCAACTGTGATAATGGGGGAGCATAACTGGGAGACAGGGAGTGTTACTATTGTGCAAAAAGAAAGCGCCAGGTTTTGTAAAGTCCATTAGTCGTATTTTTTTAAAAGTTACATTCAGAAAGCCTGACAGAGCATTTTTATATAACAGGAAGTTCCTGAACAATTATCTTAAAATGTTATTAAATCCACAACAATAAAATTAGCCTGTATATGCAGCAAAGCCTGCTTGTTATACTCACTGTGGAACCTAAGGGGTTAATCCTTCACATTGTGTAAAAAGGCTGTTTGATTCTGTCTTATCTGATCCTCTCCGTCTTCTACTGTCCCCAATCCTTCTGCTGATAGTAGAGAGCTCTGGGAGTCATTCTGCACATGCTCAGTTTGGTGTTTATTACTAGAGAGTTTTTTTTTTTCTTTGGGACGGTGCACGTAATCAGCACAGGGCCAATCAGAACTGTCCAGACAGAGGGTCGGGGGTTATGCAGCATCATAGGACAGTCAGAATTACATAGTTACATAGTTAGTTGGCTGAAAAAAGACAAAAGTCCATCCATAATCCTATACCCACAGTTGATCCAGAGGAAGGCAAAAAAAAAAAACAGCAAAGCATGATCCAATTTAAATGAAAACTCCTCTTACAAGCTTTAACCAGTGCTCAGCTGGACACTGATAGAAGTCACAAGACTGGTATATACAACTGATGAGAAAAGGTATTTAGCAGTTTATATTTACTACAATAATTGCTTTTTCATGCAGTGTGTACTGGGAGAGACCAGCTATAGTGAATGCAGGGTCCTGGGTTTAGCAACACTTTAATGTAAGAGCACCAGGTATTCAGTAATATTTAAAGTAGTATTACACCTAAAAGCAAACATTTATAATATTGCAGCGTACCAATTTTTAGAAGGTTGCATTAGTTTTCTTTTTTAGGCTTTCTTTTTTTTAATGTAACCTGGTGATCTGGTCAGTAAGTATGTTGTTTTTTAAAAGAACAAGCTCTTCTGCAAATGTATCAGTTAAGAGTGTTGGGACAAACCATTTATTACTGACAGGGGTGTTTACGAGTGACACTGTGTGGGAAGATAGGACCCAGAATGGGAGTTACTATAGAGAGTGGCTGGCTGCTGACAGCTGTATTTGTAAAGCTAGCTATCCATATGAGGGCAATGGAGGGGGAGGGGGGGGTGTGCAAAGGTGAGCTGCAGTCAGGTGTTGCAGAGGTAAATTGATAGGTGAGCTGCGGCTGGGGGGGTGCAGAGGTGAGCTGAGTTGAAACCCACCTCTGCACCCCCCACCGGCCACTGCTCAGCTCTGCACCCCCTAGCCCCAGCTTGCTCTGTACCCCACAGCCACAGCTCACTTCTGCCTCCCCTGTCCACAAATCACCCTGCACCCTGTCTGTGGCTCATCTCTGCACCCTTTCTGAAACTCACCTGTCAATTAACTTCTGCAACACTTGGCTGCAGCTCACAACTGTCATCAGCCAGCCCTCTCTATAGGGTCCTTCATCCACAACTGCCTGCAGCTCCCCTCTGCACCCCCTGTTCACACCTGTAGATTAAAAAAATAAGACCTACCCCAAAAATAAGACCTAGTGTGTTTTTTTGAGCCCCAAAATATATAAGACAATGTCTTATTTTCGGGGAAACACGGTATAATTACAAACCTTTTTGGATAGAGTATGGAATAGAGTACCTAAAAACCATTTCAGGTTGGTTTCTGCTGCCTGTGCCCTGCTGGGAATATTTACCTTCTCTTCCTATCATTGTAGATGCAAGGGGAAGTGAAAGGTAGTTTCCCCAGAGTGAGAATTCCCATTTTTGGACAGTTGTCCCCAGAACATTTGTTGACATTAGAAGCTTTTCCCTCACCACTGGCTCTCATGACAACTTTAAAATTTTAGGAGTTCCATTTTCTGTCTCTTTAGTAGTGGTTACCAGGAGAAATAGAGGGGTAAATCTCCCCAGTAGGGATGCAGGCCTTAGAGAAACATGACAGAGGCACTACTCCCTCACTACTCCATCCAAAACTATATAAAAAAAGGCTTGGCCTTTACATGTTAAAGCGGAACTTTACCCATAACAACCATTAGCAAGGAACATACATTCCACATTAATAACTATGCTACCAAAATTAGCGTGTGCTGTAATTAAAAAAGGCCTGGATTCTTTCTTAGATACACAGAATATAACTGTAACTAACATTTATAGGTAAAGTTGATCCAGGGAATATCCGATTGCTTCTTGAGGGATCAGGAAGGATTTTTTTCCCTGCAGGAGAAAATTGGATCATGCTTTACTGGGTTTTTTGTCTTCCTCTGGATCAAGTGTGGGTGTAGGATTATAACTTTTTTTTTTTTATGGTTGAACTAGATGGACTTTTGTCTTTTTTCAGCCACACTAACTATGTAACTATGTAAATTTCCTCCAGCATTGTTCCTGTTTCTTCTTGCTGGAGGCTGACATTTTAGAACTAGATGGACTTTTGTCTTTTTTCTGCCACACTAACTATGTAACTATGTAAATTCCCTCCAGCATTGTTCCTGTTTATTCTTGCTGGAGGCTGACATTTTGGAACTAGAAGGACTTTTGTCTTTTTTCAGCCACACTAAAACTATGTAACTATGTAAATTCCCTCCAGCATTGTTCCTGTTTCTTCTTGCTGGAGGCTGACAATTTGGAACTAAAAGGACTTTTGTCTTTTTTCAGCCACACTATCTATGTAACTATTTAAATTTTCCTCCAGCATTGTTCCTGTTTCTCCTTGCTGGAGGCTGACATTTTGGAACTAGATGGACTTTTGTCTTTTTTCAGCCAAAATAACTATGTAACTATATAAATTTCCTCCAGCATTGTTCCTGTTTCTTCTTGCTGGAGGCTGACATTTTGGAACTAGATGGACTTTTGTCCTTTTTCAGCCACACTAACTTTGTAACTATGTAAATTCCCTCCAGCATTGTTCCTGTTTCTTCTTGCTGGAGGCTGACATTTTGGAACCAGATGGACTTTTGTCTTTTTTCAGCCACACTATGTAACTATGTAAATTCCCTCCAGCATTGTTCCTGTTTCTTCTTGCTGGAGGCTGACATTTTGGAACTAGATGGACTTTTGTCTTTTTTCTGCCACACTAACTATGTAACTATGTAAATTCCCTCCAGCATTGTTCCTGTTTCTTCTTGCTGGAGGCTGACATTTTGGAACTAGAAGGACTTTTGTCTTTTTTTAGCCACACTAACTATGTAAATTCCCTCCAGCATTGTTCCTGTTTCTTCTTGTTGGAGGCTGACATTTTGGAACTAGATGGACTTTTGTCTTTTTTCAGCCACACTAACTATGTAACTATGTAAATTCCTCCGGCATTGTTCCTGTTTCTTCTTGCAGGAGGCTGACATTTTGGAACTAGAAGGACTTTTGTCTTTTTTTAGCCACACTAACTATGTAACTATGTAAATTCCCTCCAGCATTGTTCCTGTTTCTTCTTGTTGGAGGCTGACATTTTGGAACTAGATGGACTTTTGTCTTTTTTCAGCCACACTAACTATGTAACTATGTAAATTCCCTCCAGCATTGTTCCTGTTTCTTCTTGCTGGAGGCTGACATTTTGGAACTAGATGGACTTTTGTCTTTTGTCTGCCACACTAACTATGTAACTATGTAAATTCCCTCCGGCATTGTTCCTGTTTCTTCTTGCTGGAGGCTGACATTTTGGAACTAGATGGACTTTTGTCTTTTTTCAGCCACACTAACTATGTAACTATGTAAATTCCCTCCAGCATTGTTCCTGTTTCTTCTTGCTGGAGGCTGACATTTTGCTGAAACCGATAGTCCTAGGCAGCATTAAATCTTTACGCTGTCAGCAGATCATAAAATAGAGAGAACTGAGCATGTGCAGAGCTAAGTGAGACAGTGTAGTACTGTATTTCACACAGTATAGGCACTTATTTTTAGTGTTTTACATACCTGCAAACGGGGGAAGCATGAAGTGATCTAGCACGACTTCATTTTCAGACTAAAGTTCCACTTTAAATATAAGTCTGCCCGATCGAATTTGCTATGGTCCAATTCACACTGGTACTATTACATTTAAAGGAAATGCATGTAATGACTGGTGTCATTCAGATTGAGCATTTACCTGCATTTAGGTGTGTGTTAGCTATTTATAAAAATTAAAATTCTGTGTGTCCAGGATCCAATTAGAAACTCTTAGGCCTCATTCACACAGGAGTACCTATCCATACATGTGTAAAGGGCTGTCTTTGCTAGCATGGGATGCATAGGTGTTCCATGCATTCACGCGTGGCAGTCCCATCCATGTCTTTTGGGAAGCAGTGACTGCATGGATTGCTGGTCCCAATTTGACAGCTGTGTAGGTCCCAGGGGTGGACTGACAACTCATGGGGCCCCTGGGCAATAGGGGATCATGGGGCCCCTGTGTCCTTGCCCAAACTCAAAAAAGCCTATGAAAAAGGCACCAGGAGCATCTCATGGGGCCCCCTACTGACCCCGGGCCCTTGGGCAGTGCCCGAGTTTCCAAATGGTCAGTTCGCCCCTGGTAGGTCCCCAAACACTACATCCTATGCGGGCAAAGATAGCCTTTCACAGGAGTTTATGGATAGGTACACTCCACCCAT